AAGCTAGCGTCAGATTTAATTTCTAATAATCATCATGTAAATTGAAATGGTGGCAGGCTAAAAGCTAGAATTACAGTTTCTAGTTCCTAGCAGCAGAGCTTTTGCAATTCCTAAAGCACATGTGATATCATACACTATATATATATATATATATATATATATATATGAGGAAAATTACTAAGCTAGCGTCAGATTTAATTTCTAATAATCATCATGTAAATTGAAATGGTGGCAGGCTAAAAGCTAGAATTACAGTTTCTAGTTCCTAGCAGCAAAGCTTTTGCAACCCCTAATAGACATGTTTGAGAAAGGCAAAATGTACCCAAATGGATTTGTTCCAGCAGCAAAGCATATCGTGAGTCATTCTTGATATTTCATCAAAAGAAATGAACTTAAAGACAAATAGGAAGAAAAAATCAATACCAATAGTAAGATTTCCTAATGGTATTGAGGAAGTACAGATCCACATAATGAGCAATTTATGGAAGAGGAACAAAAAACAAACTTGCAAAATCTTTTAAATGATTAACATATATTGTAAAAAGAAATAATCAATTGAATAACTTTGTTAGTATAATTAAAAAGAACATACTCGGAGCTTGAGAACTCATAAAGTCTTCCTTTTTGAGAGAAGATGACAACTGCAACTTCGACATCACAGAGAACAGATAGCTCAAAAGCCTTCTTAAGCAGCCCGTTTCGACGCTTGGAGAAGGTCACTAGTCTGTTCGCTGCATTCTCGATCCTTTTCATCACAATTTTTCCTCTCACCATCTTCTACTTCATCATCAGAGCCACGTCCATTAGTAAATTTACGGGAGAATCATTTTTTTAAAGAAAAAACGACACATATACTCACCAAAATTGAGCAAAGTCCCCAGATATATATTGAGTAGCCACGCAGTGTGTAGCTATAAGTCTATAACTCAAGTTTCAACATTTGCAAAGAAAAATTACAAATTTTGAAGAGATTAATAATGACAACCCAGAGCAAGGGTTTAAAAGTTCACAGAAAAGAGAAAGACAAGGATAACCCAGAAAGAAAATAGTCTAAATTTTCTAGGAAAGCAAACAAGTTTCTGCCTTTGTGCAAAGAAAACAAATTTTAAAGAGATCAATAATGGTAGCCCATAATCCCATAGAAAGGTTTCATCTTTCAAGGTGCAATGGACGGAGGAAACCCAAGGAAAACCCAGAAAGAAAATCACTGAAAAAGCCAAAAATTTCTAGGAAACCAAACGGCAACCACCCTGGAAAATTCCTGTGAACAGAGGGAGAAATCAAAGATGAGAAGTTCAGAAACCCTAGAGAGATTCACAAAGCAGGAACGCAAAGGATCCATTGATTTTTTTTAGTGGAAAAGGATCCATTGATTTGAGGTAGCACTTTCTTTCCATTCAAACCACAAAAACCCCACGTCTTTCCGCCACAAAAAAACAAAAACAAAAAAAAATCCATACCCAATTAAAACCATAATTAAAAGCTTTTTAATTCATATTCTTACCTTGTTTTGGTAATATTGAGAAAAAAAAAAAGGAAAAGAATGTGCAGAACAGAAAAATAATGAATAAAGAAAATGGACGGTAAAGGCAGAATAAATAAAAAAGGGAAATAAGGAAAAAAATCGTGTTACATGTCAACTTCATCGTACAATGATGTGCGCAACGGGCCACTGGTGTCTTGACTCGTGAACGTATCACGTCAGATCCACCAATGGGAGGAGGCGAACGTGTCACGGGCTCGCCATGAATGTATTAGCAAATTTGAGAAAGTAGCTTTGAGCAAGCATTATATATATTTTATGTAATTTAAGTATTAAAATTATTAAAATATTAATAATAAATAAATATAAAATACAATTTTATTTGAAATATTTTAATAATTTTATTATTTAAATTATAAATATAATAAAAAATATAATCTGTACTAAAAAATATTTTTTATTGACTAAAACCATTAACTTGAAAAGAAAATTGTTGGCTCTTTGTTTTTAAGTAAAAATCCTTCGTTCCAAAAATGAAAATGAGAAGAAACATTATTGCGACTTCTGGTGTGGCACTGCTTGTGTCTAATGGCTTCGAACGTACCTTGTAACTATTCAATAATAAATTTTTTTTGTTGATATAAAAAAATGATATAAACATTACTAACAAACAAAATTTTAGATAAATTAGCACTCAATAAATAAAAAATTTTGATTTAAGGTCAACAGTAAGATTTATAATACCATATATTTAACTCTTAACATATAAAAAAATAATATAAACCTTATAATAAAATGTGTATATATAATAAGTGATATAATAAGTTAGTAAAATTTTAAATAAATTTTATATAAGTAGAATTGTATATTCATTATTACACGGGCAAGTTTTTTAAATTTCATAATTTTAATTTTTAAATCTGTCACAGTTGGTATCGTAAAAGTGACAACTTATAAACCTTTTTTTATTATTTTAAGAGCACCTTTTCCCATTTATTTATAACTATAGAATTCGGTATATAATTATGTTTGTTACTATATATATATATATATATATTTTTTTTTTTAAGTTAATGCACACTATTTAAAAAATTTTAATTTGGGGACAAGATTAAAATTCAATACTCTCAAATATCAAGTACTTAACTTCTAATAATATACCAAAAAATATATCATTCTTATGGATGTGTCAACCTATAATTAATTTGTTATACAAACTCGTAACCATTATATTAATGATATTCGCTTTTAACAATGGATTTACCTAAAAATTAAAGTAAAATACTCACTTAACTTTAGTCGGCCTTTGTTTTTTTGCAACAACAATCTAATAGTTTAATAAAATTTTATATTTATCCCCAAGTAACCACTACTTAAATAAGCATTCTTGTTATAATATATCTTATAATTATTTTCTTAAAATAAAGGTAAAGTAAGAATAAACACTTTTGATCACCTTTCTAAAATAAGAGTGAACAATTAATTTTAAATGCCCAAAATAAAAATTAAGCAAACTAAAACTAAATAGGGAGGCTACTTAAATTGAGAATGAGGTCGGATTGTGACTCAAATGTTTCTGCATGAGGAGTTTTTCATTTTGGTAAAGCTGCTGAGGAAATTTATCCATCAGAAATAGAAGGCTGCGGAGGAAATTTGATTGTTGGATTAAAACTCTAGAAAAATATAATTTTTAAAGAAGGTTTCTCAATATAATTTTAATGTTATGCTTTTATTAGAAGCGGCTGGTTGGGGCTGGGTTTTGCTATTTAAAGGTGGATTGGTCTTGGGCTTCTTTTCTCATCAAGCAGTCTGCTGCATGTGCTCTCAATTTGGAGCATGTAGGAGCCACTAGTTGAATGTTGACCTTGGGATTAACAGCCTCTAATTTCTTTTCTTCTTTTAGTAAAATCTAGATCTAGTAACTCCTCAAATTATCCTTTTTACTAGATGTATTAATTTTTTTTTTTTAATTTTAATTGTGTAATTAATGAGAATGAGAAGACCAACATTGCTGGTCTCTATTCACGATAGAAAATTGCAATAAAATTGAAAAATATTAAAGAAAAATAGTTTATCATTCGAATTGTATTAAAAAAAACTTGAAAATTAAGTTGTTTCATTAAACTTTAAATGAAAAAAAGACATAACTTATTTTCAAAACAAAAACGAAACTATTTTAGTCTTTTCTAGTCGTGCAGAATATCATGATCCCAGCATCAGCATATTTTTTTATGGTATTCTTACACCCTATATTATAGTTACACTTACGTTATATAAAATTAAAGAAGCAAAAATTTTTGAGAAAAATAGTGAACTAACCAACCACATACACTGATCATACAACATTATCTGGAGTAACACAATAATTTCTATTGTAAAGTAAATTCAGACGATTGATATTAATGGTTTTACAACAATCCAATGAACAATTTTGTCACAGCCTCCAAGCACACTTTATTTTGGGTGCAATCTTTATTGCTTTCCTTTGTTGTGCCAAGGCTTCCCATCACTACACTACTATCCATATCAAAAGAGAGTTAGTTTATTTTTTTCATTCAAAAGTGTTTTCTAGTTTTAATTGCACCATACTGCAGAATAAGAACAATTAGACAAAAGGGCTCTTCATTGTAAGGTGGGCCCATCATCTAAAAAAGAAAAGAAAACTCCAAGATTTAAAAATAAAAGGCTCACCTTTTCAAATAACTTCACATTTTTTTCTAATAACATTCTCTCCTAAATTAAAACTAAAAAGGTATCCTTGAGACAAAAACAAAGTACATTTTTGAGAAGCTTAGAGCTAGAAGATTGAGGTCATAATATATCTTTAATTCAATGGAGGGAGTTATTCTTACCTTTGGTTTAATTGTTGTATCTGCTTGCAGTGTTGGAACCAAAGAGAGATGGAAAGTAGGGCCTTCTTTTCAATCTTACCTCTAAACCTTTTTCTTGTCTGTACAATGAGATTTAGGTCAAGACATTTGACATGTTTTCTCCTACAACCTTAATATATGCCTCTTCTAATTTTTTAACACTTGGGGTAAAGCCTATAGCTAACCCCCTCTTCATGCAGTTCTGCTAATGTCTACTCCTTATACAACTGGGCCTATAATATCAGAGTTAACATGTTTAGCCTAGAGACTTTCATGCAAGCAAACACAATTTTCAAGAAATGCCCAGGAATTGTATGCAGGTAGATGCATGGCACAATGAAGAATCTAGTCAATGATATGAGGAATGTCAAGCCACAGTCCCTTGCATATAGGTAAATCACACAAGGAAGAATCCATTATAGGGTGCATAAGAGACTCTAGTCCCACATCACGGAGGAGATTTTGGACCACTTAAATGGTTAAAGGAATGTGTGTTGCACCTCTATCTATGAGTATATGACTTAAGGAGGAGGCGAGTCTAAGGAAATCCGGCAGTTGCATATCTATAAAGGGTCCAACGATGGTGCAAATACTATGAATATGCCGAAAAACCCATTTGCCAGTAAGCCAAATGCTAATTTTCCTTTCATAGCAGAAATCTTGCAATCAAGTATTGATTCATTAATATAACTAATTTCAGCCTAAATGTAAATCTAAAGGTTGCTAACCTTTCTTGCTCTGATGTTTTTCAAGCATTGTTCTAGCTGGTTACCAATCTCTTGAAGTTCCTCAACAGAACATGACCATAATCCTTGACCCAACAACTTCCTGTATAATACAAAAATTTCGAACTTTAGAAATCCTTTCACCTGGATGAGATGAAGTAACATGACATAAACATTAAATCATTGAACCTTTTAGAAACTTCCAGGAACTCAAACTTCTTAAACATCTTTGCTGTTTCAATCGTCAAGTGCTGCACTTTGAAATTTTTTTGAGGAAACCGAAAGTATTGTTGCCAGCTGTAGGCTAGTAATTTATTATAACTCATGAAGCAAGTAGTTTGATGAGAGAAATGAAGATTTAATGTAGATTATATATAGAGAAATCCAATCATATGTATCAAAGAATCAAGCCACAAAATCTAGTTAATACCAAAGATTGCATGGATTTGATTAATACTTGGAATGATCTGCTGAAATTGATGAAGCATCATAACCAAGTTTTCGACTGCCCCTTGGCAACTTGTTTATAGGTCACCACAGCTAGTTCAAATTCAGGCTGCTTTACTTGACAAATTATATCCTAAAGAGGGAGAGAATGATTCTGTAGGTTTGGATACCATTTACATCTGGTATCTTCAAGACAGGAGCAACTTGGCATTGGATTAGAGAAAAACAGGAAAAGCAACCTTGGCATAAGCTAATTTGGTTCTCTGATGCAGTTCGTAAGCACAGTTTCATAAGTTGGCTAGCTACCCTTAACAGACTCACAACCAAGGCTTGCTAGAAACAGTGGACATAAAGTGTTGATGACACCTGTGTTTTATGTAAGTGTGACCCAGAAACAAGTCAACATTTATTTTTTAAGTGAGGATCAATACTCAAAGGGCGTTTGGCAGGAACTTAGCCACATGACAAACATCCCTTTGCTAGACTCATGGCAGGATTTATTACCCTGGCTTGGCGAGACAGTTAGAAGGAAGTCTCTACATAACACTTTAATCAAGCTATGTTGGAACGCCGCTGTATATCATATATGTATAGACCAGAATCAGAGAATTCATATGCAATGTTTCAGAACTGAAGCAGCACTGCTTGCAGAAATTCAGTTTGAAGTTAGATGCAAAATTTTGAGTTTTACTCATCCACATTCATCCCTTTTACCTAGAGCTACTGCAATAAAATGGTGGCTTGAGGTTGTCGTAAAGAATTAGTGCAGAATTTCAAAGACTAATGTGTTCATGTAGTCATTTTTTCTTGTAGCAGCTTTTCTGCTGCTTTGATGTACTGCTAGTCTTTATGGATAAATAAATTCAAATTTTATCCAAAAAAATAATAATAAGCACTTGTCTGAGCTTTGAAACTCTTCACTTCCTAAATCTTGAATTTAGAGTCCGAAACCATGACATAAAGAAGGAGAAATTGCAATTTAACTACAAATGGTTTGAGGTAAGTCAACATGAAGATTGAAATTTTGGGTAATTGCAAATAAAGGCCTAAGATATCAAAATGTGCACATAAACACTAAGGATTTGCACATGGTCTGAATAACCACTTGAAATCTTTTAAAGGCCCCTAATTTTAAAAGAAGGAAAAGAAAAAAAAATAAGGGTATTTATTACAATTCATATGACTAAAAGTGATTATATGCATCTAATTCAAAACTCAAGTCCTCATTTGCACATCTTGAAATCTCATGTTTTTATGTGCACTCATCTTAAATGCAAGTATGCTATGTGTATTTTAAAATCATGGGTCTTTTTGAACATCAATCTCAAACCACAAGAAATTAAAATGTAATTTCCCCAATAAACAATAAAAGAAGTACATTGGCGACAATCAACTGCAACTTTAGTATGCATGTTTCCCTTACAAATAGACTTATACCATACACAATATCATCTATGTTTACATCTATTAACGACCTATTAATCTCAATGAAAGGAATTCAATTCCACTTAAGTAAGATCTTAAATTTGTGTCTTCTGAACGAAGAAACATGCACAAGAAAAGCTTCTCCTTTCATGGGTCTGACCTAACTTACTCTGGATTACTTGGAATCCAATGCAATTTCTGAATATCAAAGGGTTAGTACAAAATAAAAAAGTTAAATGCTAAATTTGGTCTCTTAATTTTAGTGAGTTGCACTTTTTTTGTCCCTTTGCAATTTTTTGCACTTTTTTGATCTCTCAACTCTAAAAAATACACAACGTTAATCATTCCGTCAATTTGGGCAGTTAACTCCGCTCATGTGACATTTTTTATATTTTTTTGATGACGTGGAAAGCAAAATTTTAAAAAGTGCTGATATGACAAAACGTTTTGCCATGTCATGTTCCCACGATTCAAAGGCATCAAATCCACTAAATGGGCCCCACATTGCCTGCCAAAGTACCAACAAAGGGGTAAAATGCCTGTGAACCCTAAATTGCTCTTTCATTTCCATTCCATCTGTAAAATCAACCTTCACCCATTTTTTCTTCTTCTCTGGATGCTCTCTCATCTCCACTTCATCAAATTAACTCAATAAACAATGTCAATCAAATCCTAATTAAATTTCAACATAAATACAATCAAATTGTAAATTAACTCCCAAATTTATCAAGAACTGAAAATGGAAATCGAAAGAAGAATGAGAAAACATGGTGAACTTGACAAACCTAGTTCTAAAAAAAAATGGAAATCAACATAACCTAGTTCCAAACACAGCAACTAAGTTTCGAAGAAACTCAATAAAGCTAGGTTTTGTCGAACCCAGTCAATCTGGGTTCCATGGAACCCAATAGAGCTGGACTTTGTCAAACCCAGGCAATTTGTTACTGCCTTTTCTACTGGTGAAATCATGATTAATTCTCAAAATCCCATGGATAACATTGTAGCATAACATAATCTCAATGCAACAACCATTCCCAGAAGTCTTTCCATTTTTTTTTTTGAATAGCGAGTAAAAAACAAGAGATAGTCCTCACTCAAAAACCAAAGAAACATCCAAAAACCAATCTGGGTTCGACCGAACCCAACAGCTGGGTTCGATGGAACCCAACAAAACTGGGTTTCATCGAACCCAGCAGTTGGGGTCGACGGAACCCAACCAATCTGGGTTCATCGAAACCCAGCAGCTGGGTTCGTCGAAACCTAGCTGATCTGGGTTCGTTGAAACCCAGTCAATCTGGGTTCCACGAACCCAACAGCTGGGTTCGTCGAAATCCAGTCAATCTGGATTCCATGATCCCAACACCTGGGTTTGAGGGAACCCAAGCAATATGGGTTTCCATCGAACCCAAGCAATATGGGTTTCCATCGAACCCAGCAAATCTGAGTTTAGTGGAACCATCGAGCTAGAGGTAGGAAGGGGAAGAGAAAAGGATCGAGAGGGTGAGGGCTAATAATGTCATTTTGCATGTTTTTATTTCTTTTTATTAAAATATAAATATTTAATTGACGTGGTTTCTTTTTTGTCCATGTAAGATAATTATAAGATATATTATTGCCACATCAGTTGAGGGACCAAAATTAGCATTTAACCAAATAAAATTCTATGCTTGCATCTAAATGCTCACGCTGCTCCTTTTCATACAACCTAGATTGTGTAAGGATACCCCACTAAAACACCAAACCTAACAATTTGCTTTCTTAACTATATAATCGTTTCTGTTTTATACGAAAAACAAATAAATTTCGAACTGCCCTTTTCTCGGAAAAATATTCATGAAAATTAACCTGTACGATGAAAGATGGAAGTCTAACCTGCAAGTGTTGCTCCATTTCAGGCTTGTGAGTTGGACTTTTGCATGCTGAAGCATTTCACAAAAAATTATTAATGTCAACAATCCATGTTAACAGTTTCTTAGAAATGAATGAATAAAACTGAAAAGAAAGCAGATACATCCTATCAGTGGATGACAAACAAGTTACTTGCCTCAACCCACCATCTAAGCCTAAATATGAATGTCAAGAATGAAGATGCATCCAAGTTTACAGAATGGTCACCTCAAACAAGTTATAACTTAGACTACATACTAAAACACAAGAATAACAGATTACAGGCATTTAATTTGAATATAGTAAAGGAAAATTACTTTTTCTTTTTTTTATTTGGTTCTTTTAAATTGTTTTACGAAGGAGGCTTTGACATATAAATGCCATATTTATAGGGCATTCCACTGCCATTGAAAAATTTGACATGCAGCTTCAACATCTTCTAGCATCCTGTTAAATCTATAATTTAAATGATAATTGGATTGTGAATTACAAATTTGAGTTTGAATTTGAATTTAGATCGTCAATTTTGAGTACATCTATTTGGCTTCATAAAAAAAAAAGAGTAGATTAGTGAAAAAATACATTGTTGATCTCATAAATCTCATATCCATATAAAACTTAAATACTTAAATAAAGACAATGATTGATACCCCCAGTTCAACACACTCCCCCAAATAGTCATTAAGAAATTATTATTTTGAAATTTGAATTCAAGACAAAAAAAACTTTCAATTGTAGAATTTAGATTGAACTGGTGAATATTGACAGGTGCGCTGAACCAAATAGTGTACCATTTATTATCCCTTAAATAATATGCATATGTATTCCCAACCTATGTGAAATAAATACATGAATTTCAAAATGGTGAAAGTTAGATTACAACCAAACAATATATTTTCAGGACATAAAAATCAAATTTACATTACCAAACTAAAGTTGAAATATATTTGGATTCAAATTTCACTTTTAATAGTTGTTTTTCATTGCTAACTAAACAAACTACAAAATACATATAACCTTATTAGATTTCTATCCTTCAACAGGTAATTAATTGCTACAAGAAATAAAATGTAGTCCATTCAAAAAAAGATAAGTAAATATAGGGTATTATGTAAATAGCAAAAGGAAAGGATTTATCAAAAAGATGAAAATCAACATGGTATTTACAAATATAAAGAAATTAAAAATAGTAAAACCCTAGGATAGTGCTTCAAAACAAGAAGTTAGTTGTCACCAATGATAAAAAAATCATTGGTCATGAATAGTGACAACAGATTGGGTGAAGAATCAATCTAGAGTGGATGGTGTAATTTTACTTTATAAAATTTAGTATAGGCCAAACATGAGTTTAAATAAAAAAGAAACGAGTGCACATATTGTAGTTAAGAAGTTGGTTGTCAAAATTTTACATGGATATTCTACTCTAAACCACTAGAGAACCTTATATACATCCCTAGAAGATCCCCCAACAACTAATCAAAAGATTGAAATTTTAGGTTGGAGGTCTAAAATTTAATTTTGAGGTAGAGGGAGAAGACTATCTCGTATTATGTATATACCCAATCATGTTATATTATATTATATTATATTATGTAAGCTTAGATGCAAAGAAATAAACACTAATTGATATACATTTCAGTTTAACATATTGCACAACACACTCATTAAAAAATTATTATATTCTAGTATGAAATTCAAGGAGATAAACTTGAAGATATAACTATACATAAAAGATGCAGAAACCGACTAAATTAGGCTGTACTTATATTATATTTTAATAGTTTAACTGGACGAGTATCAAAAAATGTGTTGAATTGAGTGTTTACCAATCATTTTTCCAAAGAATTGAAAGAAAGGAAGAGGCTGCATCAGAAAGTTAGTGATAAAAGAAGCACTCAAAAAGAGAAAAAATAATGTTTAGATTCACTGATTTTCAAGGGCAAGTAAACTCATCCAAGACTTGATCCCAAAGCCTTTCTTTTTTTCCCCAACAAAATGAAATTTATATTAAATAGAGTATAAGGGGTCCTCCAACACATCATGAACATGCCTCAAAATTCTCTCAACATGCAAAACAAATGAATAACAAAACAAATAAATTCAAGCTAAATCAAGTTACTTGATCCTGTACTTGTCTTGCTCTCTACACAGCTTCCCTGTATTCATTCACTGCTCTAGCACAATCCCACGGGTTATGGCACCAATCACGAAATGGAATTAAGATATTTGTGAAGGCTAAGGTTTGGTACTGTATATTTCTGGTGGTGGCATGGCCAACGAGGTTTAGGAGGAATTGTATGGTTCACAACTCCAACCCTTGGGATGAAGACATGCTATTTGAGATGATTAGAAGGAGAACCTCTACTGCTGCGGTAAGTTAGAAGGTAGTATGTTTTCCTACCATCAATGGAACACTGTGCGTTACTTATGTGCTCAGGAAACTTGAAAATAGAGGGTGCCTTGGATGATGCAGCAATGCGCATCCTTATAAATGTTGTAGTGTTTTGTATTACTATATATATGTATGAATCAACCAACAAGTTTTGTATTCCTTTATCTTGGCAATGTGGATTATGGTAACAATTAAATTTATGAAATGGTGTATGTATGGGTAGGAGCACTCCTTCTAGACCAAATTAATAGAATTTTGATTCATCTAATAAAAAAGAAATTGTGGCAGGCTAAAAACTAGGATTACAGTTTCTAGTTCCTAGCAATGAAGCTTTTGCAAACCCTAATAGACATGTTTGAGAAAGGTAAAATGCAAACAAATGGATTTTTTCCAGCAGCAAAGCACCTTATGAGAGTCATTCTTTATATTTCATCAAAAGAAATGAACTCAAAGACAAATAGGAAGAAAAAATCAAAGCAAATAGTAAGATTTCCTAATGGTACTGAGGAAGTACAGATCCACATAATGAGCAATTTATGGAAGAGGATCAAAAAACCAAACTCGCAAAATCTGTTAAATGATCAACATTATATGGTAAAAAGAAATAATCAATCGATAGAATTTTGATTCATCTAATAAAAAAGAAATTGTGGCAGGCTAAAAACTAGAATTACAGTTTCTAGTTCCTAGCAACAAAGCTTTTGCAAACCCTAATACACATGATTGAGAATGGCAAAATGCACCCAAATGGATTTGTTCCAGCAGCAAAGCATCTTATGAGAGTCATTCTTGATATTCATCAAAATAAATGAACTCAAAGCCAAATAGGAAGAAAAAATAAAAGCAAATAGTAAGATTCCCTAATGGTACTGAGGAAGTACAGATCCACATGATGAGCAATTTATGGAAGAGGATCAAAAAAAAAAAAACCTGGCAAAACCTGTTAAATGATAAACATATATAGTAAAAAGAAATAATCAATTGAAGAACTTGGTTAGTATAATTAAAAAGAACATACTCGGAGCTTGAGAACTCATAAAGTCTTCCATTTTGTGAGAAGATGATCACTTCAACTTCGACATCACAGGGAACAGATAGCTCAAAAGCCTTCTTAAGCAGCCCATTTCGACGCTTCGAGAAGGTCATTAGTCTGCTTGCTCCATTCTCGATCCTTTTCATCACAATTTTTCCTCTCACCGTCTTCTACTTCATAATCAGAGTCACGTCAATAGTAACTTTACACGAGAATCAGATTTTGTTTTTCTTCTTTGAAAAAGTGACACAAATACTTACCAAAATTTAGCTAAGTCCCCAGATATATATTAAGTAGCTACGCAGTGTGTAGCTAATACTAAAGTTTCAACCTTTTCGAAGAAAAATTACAAAAATTTTGAAGAGATTAATAATGGCAACGCAGAGGAAGATTTTAAAAGCTCAGAAAAAGAAGAAAACAAAGAAAGAAAATAGCCTGAATTTTCAAGGAAAAAAACGAGTTTCAGCCTTTGTACAAAGAACAAATTTCGAAGACATCAATGATAGAAGCACATAATCCCATGGAAAGGTTTCATCTTGCCAGGTGCAAACGAAGGAGGAAAAACATAAAGAAAATCACTAGAAAAACGAAAATTTTCTAGGAAACCAAACAGCAACAACTCTAGATAATTCTTGGGAACAAATGAAGGAATCAAAGAAGGGAGAAGTTCAGAAACCCTAGAAAGATGAGTAGAAACGAAGAGGATCTATTGATTGATTTTTGATATAGCAATCTCTTCATGCCCAAACCACAAAAACCCTCATTTTCTTTATATCCTCTAGTCTTTCCACACAAAAAGACAAAAATGTTTCATCCCACTCAAAAGCTTTTTAAACTAATCTTCTCACCTTGTTTTGGAAATAATGAGAAAAGAGAAAGGAGGAACAGAAGAGAAAAATGAACAGTAAACACCCTAAAAAAAGAGGAAATTAATAAAAAAAATAGTATTTCATCTCAACAACTTCGTTATGTAATGCGAGACCAGCGGGAGGCGACTGTGTTGCACCATCACAGGTTGGCCTCGAAAGGATTGCCTAAAACCGTCGAGAAGAAAATTGTTCGCTCTTGTTTTTGAGTAGCATTTTGAGAAGAAAATTTTTTCGAATACTTTCGAAAAGAGAAGAAAAAAAAAATGTAGACATTGTTAACTCATACGAGTTTAGTTGAGTTAACACTCATTAGATTAAAAATTTGGATATAAACACTCGTAATATTATGTAATTAATTTTAAATAAATAGTAAAACAGTTATGTAGGGCATTAATTAAAAAAAAATGTGTATTTATAGGGAGTAATGTAAGAGTTCATGCTAACTTCCGAAAAGTTTTGTGCAATCAAAATTTTATACTATCACACAATGTTTTTGAACCTGGCTCAACTCGACCGGTTGAATCGGTTAAACTAGATCCGAACTTAAAAATCGATTGGTTGAAGGCTTCAGCCCGTTTAGGTAAATGGCCTGTTGAAACCCGTCAAGCCCGTCGTGCCCACTGAACTCGTGCGACCCGCTACAACCGACTGGGTTGAAATTTTCACCATCTTTTTTTTTTTTTTTTGAGGAAAGGTAATTAGCAATGCATTAGAAAAACTGCCATACGACATCTACATCCAGACCTTATCCAAAAGGATAAGAGTAATAGACAAAGAAAAGAACAAACTGGAGAAGCAAAGCAGAGTAGACCCGATGCATAGAAGGAAGGGAGGTGAAGTCACTCGAGCAACCTGTGGTCGACCGATCCAGTCATGGGACACCTTTCAATCTACTCCGGAGAGGATGGCGCAAAATCTCCAGGACGCCGCGGTAGAGATCTAGGCTGGCGGTGGCTAGATCTGGAAAATCAGAGAGCACCTACCAAGATCTGCAAGATAGAGCTGAGGGTCGCCTGATCTAAAAAACATAAACTATACAAGAACACAAAGCAAAACAAAACAACCAGAAAAACAGGAAAACCAAAAGGGGTCATTGGAAAGGGACCCAAAAGCCAACAGACCCGGAAGGGTCATCGGAGGAGGGAGCACAGGGCGGCTCCAGCATGCTTGAGCGGTCGAGAAGCCCGACGGCTCAAGCATCAAAACCTTGGAAGCTCAAAGGCTTCCGAGCAAAACCAACGCAGCACTGGAGAAGGGAGGCAGAAGCAGGAGACAAAGGAGAGAAAAAGGGGATCCACCATCTTTTTAAGTTTTTGTCTTTTTGACTTAAATTAAAATTTAAAACTTAAATTAAAAATCAATAACCGATTGAACTGATCAAGTGAACTAGTTCAACCGGTTGACCCAGACCCAGTGGTCAAAACGGGCTAACCACCGGGCCGAGCTCAAAAACATTGCTATCACATGTGTAGGCTTCTCAAATTTAATAGTTTTAATATTTAAAAAAAAAGGTAATTTAATAGTTTTATTTTTATAGTATGTCACATCTTGTACTTTTATGTGTATATATTAATAAGATATAACTTGTTTTTGAATAATTTGTAATTATTTACAGGGTTAATTGGGGGAGGGAGGAAAGAGATTTCGTGGAGCTCGAACGTGCAACCCACCGGAGGTGGACAACCCTAACCGAAGGTTCAATGCCACTGGGCCGAAGCGGGCCGTTCGATATAACTTTTTTTATTTCTAACTACAAAAATTGATATGTAATTATCTATGTTACTATTGTTTGGTTGAATTAATGTACACTAATTTAAAATTTTTGACTTGGATCAAAATCAAAATTCAAACATTTTAAACACCAAGTACTTAACTTCTATTAAGATATCAAAAATATATCACTTTTAGTAACGTGTCAACCTCTAATTCTTATGTTATACAACATGTGACTATTATATTAAGGGAAATGATATATACATCCTCAAAAATTATATACTCCATTAAATACTGATGGTTTCTATTAGTTACTGTTAAAATTAACGATTTTCATTACTTATGCCGTTAAAATTAATTGTTTTTATTATTTTTGCCGTTAAAACTAATGGTTTCTGTTAATTTTAATAGCACACTAATGAAAATCGCTAGTGTGTAACGGAGTGTATAACTTTTGAAGGGTGTATGTATCAGTGTCTTTATATTAATGATCTTCCCTTTTAACAATGACTTTACTTAAAAATTAAAATAAAATACTTGGAATGCTAGAACTAGGAAGGATGCTTGGGATCAAGTTCAATGGTAGTGAGATACTTGGCGAGGCCTTGCAAAATTTGGAAGAAAAGGAGGCATTGGAAGCACATATGCAGTGAGGACGTCAAGGTGGTGTGTGGGAATTCATTCCAATTATGAAGATATGTCCTTTAATATTAGGGGGTTGCATAACCCTTTGAAAAGAAAAGAAAACAAGTGCTTGATGATTAGGAAGAAGGTGGAGTTGTTGTTGTTGTAGAAACAAAGATGGAGCAAGTAGACCTAAGCATTTGTAAATCTCTATGGGGGAGTGAGGATTGTGACTGGATCGGGAAGGCAGCAACTAGAAGGGTAGGGGGTATACTTTGCATGTAGAGCAAAGGACTTTTTACAATTGAATCGAGTTTCAAAGGAGAAGGTTTCTTAGGAGTGAAAGGTGCTTGGGGTCTAAAAAGAACACAGGTAACCATCATTAATGTAAACTTCCCACGTGAGTTTCAAGATAAGTTGTTGTTGTGGGGAAATTTGAAAAACATTATAGGATCAGTAGGTGGAAGAATATGTGTGCTAGGAGATTTTAATGTTGTGATAAGTAGGGAAGATAGTGTCGAGAGATTAAATAGATCGAGGGAGATAATGGAGTTTAATAATTTTATCTTTGATTCAACATTGATAGAAATGCCATTAGTGGGTCATAAATTTACCTGATACAAATCTAATTGTACAACCATGAGTAGAATCAACAAAGCTTTACTAAACATATAATTTTTGGAAGAATGGAAGGAATGTCATTTGGTGGGTTTGAGAAGATCAATTTCATATCATTGCCCCATCCTATTGTCATCAAACAATTGGGATTGGGGTCCAAGACCTTTCAAGTTTGTAGATAGCTAGCTGGAGTTCCTAGTCTTCAAAAATATTATAAAGGAGAAATGGGATGGATATCAAGTTCAAGGTTGGAATGGTTGTAGATGCAAAGAAAAATTTTAAATGTTAAAGAGTTTTCAAAGAAAGTAGAACACAAAAGTCTATGGCAACATTGATCAACAGATTGAAAGGGCAAAGGAAAAAGTGGGGGGTAAATTGATTTGAAGAGTGAAGACCTTGTATTGGAGGATGATGATATGATTTAAGGAGGGAAGGAGTGAAGGAATTATGGGATGGACTAAGGAAAAAGGAGATATTGTGGAGACAAAAATATAGAACGCTTTGGATTAGGAATGGTGATGCTAACATAGGATTTTTCATAAGTTTGCTAATAACAAAAAATCAAGAAATGCAGTGCTTAGCTTATAGAAGAATGACTATTGTGTAGATGATCCAAGAATGGTTAAAGAGGAAGTGTTAGCTCATTTCAAAAACAAGTTCACAAAAGTTAAATGGTGCAGGCCATCTTTGGGTGAGGTAATTCTCAATAAAATCTCTCCAAAGCAATGTTCAAGCTTGGAGGCTCATTCCTCCTTGGATGAGGTTAAAAAGGCAGTGGGAGATTGTAATAGTGAAAAAGCATTAGATTTTGATGGATTTGATTTCAAATTCATAAAGTTTGCTTGGGAGGTATTGGAGGGAGACATCATGAAGTTCATGAAGGAGTTCCACGATAATGGCAGATTTGTGAAACGTATTAATTTGAACTTTATTGTTTTGATTTCAAAAACTCAAAACCTAGTGGAGCTAAGGGATTTCAGACCGATTAGCTTAATATCCAATTTGTATAAAATAGTTGCCAAGGTTCTGGCAAACATGTTAAAAGAGGTAATGGATTGTATAACTAGTGAAAACCAATCTACTTTCGTGGGACGAAGGCAGATTGTGGATGGCATCCTCATTCTAAATGAAGTTGTACATGAACTGAAAAGAAGAAAGGTGGATAACTTTATTTTGAAGGTTGATTTTGAAAAGGCTTATGATTGTGTGAATTGGGAATTTTTAGATAGTATGATGGGAAATTTTGGGTTTGGAGAGAAATGGAGAAAATGGATCATAGAATGCCTATCAACAGTCACTACCGTTGTCTTGGTGAACGGTAGTCCCATAAATGAATTCAAAATGGAGGGAGGGTTGTGGCAAGGGAATCCTTTTTCCCCATTCTTGTTTCTTATGGTGGCACAAGGATTACACTGTCTCATATCGAAGGCTGTTTCTTGCGAATTATTGGAGGAAGTTTTGTGGATTATTGGAAGGAGTAGGAGTTAGTTGTAGGAATTTGAAAATTATGCATCTATAATTTGCAAATGACATTATTTTGTTGGGAAAGGCTAAAATGGAGTACATTGGAGTTGTGAAAGGAATTTTGCAATGGTTTGAATTGATGTCAAGATTGAAGATCAATTTTTAAAAAAGCAGTTTGATAGGGACCAACATAGATGTTTAACAAGGGCAGCTACTTTCTCGAGGTGCAGAATTGGTAGAATCCTTTTCCAGTACTTAGGAATGCCAATGGGCAATGACCCAAGGAAGAACAAAATATGGTAGTTAGTGATTCAAAAGATACAAAAGAGGTTGGATGGGTGGAAGGCAAAATGCATGTCCTTTGGAGGTTGATTAATCCTACTTAAATCACTACTTTCTTCTCTTCCTTTGTATTACCTATCTATATTTAAAATGCTTACTTGTGTATTGAAAACCATTGAGAAAATGCAAAGACAATTCTTGAGGGGTTTTTTTGGGGAAGGCAATAGGAAAGTCTATTGGGTAAAGTGGGAGATGGTTCGCTTAGATAAGGAAAAAGGAGGGTTAGGTGTACCAAATTTGAGAAACATAAATTTGGCTTTATTGGGGAAGTGGTGGGCTAGGTTTGAGGAGAAATTTGAGAGTCTATGGAAAAAAGTCCTATTAGAAAAATATTATAAGGAAGGGAGAGAGTTAGGAGTGGGTAATATTAGAAGAAGAAGATTGTCCAAAATAGGAAGGATATTGTATTTTTAGAAGGGCTAGAAAAAGAGATGGTGAATATAGTTAGGGATGCTTTTAGATGGGTGATAGGTGATAGTGGGCATGTTAAGTTTTGGAAAGATAATTGGCTCGAGGGAAGGGTGTTAAAGACTGATTTTCCAAATTTGAAAAGGTTGACAATGTCTTTGAACTTGAAAGTTGGTGGAATGGGATTCTAGAGGGATGGTGTTTGGAAAGGAAAGTGAGGAGGAGACGGTGTTGTTGGAGTTATTAGATGGGGTTAGGGTGATTGAAAGGAAGGAGAACAAGAGGGTGTGGAGGTTTGATAGTAGTGGGATATAATCAGTTAGGAAGGCATACTCTTTGTTATGTGCTAATCATCAAATTCTTGATTCTAACTTGTGTAAGGTTATTTGGAATAATCTTATGTCTGGAAGGATAAGTTTTTTCGCTTGGAGAATGTTTTCAAACAAGTTACCTACAAAGTTAAACCTATCAAAAAGGGGTCTTCATGTGGATGCAAGGGATAGCAACTGTTCAAGATGCCATTGAGAGTAGGAAGATGACGAACATGCTTTGCTTAGATGCAATTATGCAGCTAGTGTTTGGAAAAGGTGCTTGGAATGGTGGGGTTTTGATATCACCCAACTAGACTCAATCTAGGACATGCTCAAATCACTTCTATTAGGGATAGTTGAAGCACAAGGAATGAAAGCTTGGTCATTCATGTTTCTTGTTATTACATGGTCCATCTGGAATGCACTCAATAATCTAATTTTTAAGGAGGTTAACATCTTAGCGAGTAATTTGTTTGAGGCCATGCAAATATGATCATTTCTTTGGTTGAAGATTAAGGCGACTGAGTTTTATTATTCCTTTTTTGAGTGGTGTAGCAACCCAAGAGTTTGCGCAAAAGCAATTTCTTAGTGTCTTAAGTGATTGAGGACACAATGTTCGAAACAAAGAGGATTTTGATTTGAGAAGCGAATTGGTTAAACCCTCATTTTGGTCCCTCAACTATTGTACGGACCCCGACTTAGTCCCTCAACTCAAAAAATCTCTAATTTGGTCCCTATTGTTTACCATTTTTACCCCGGTTTGGTCCCTCTGTTAAAAATCACTGACTTGGCATGTTATGTGACGGAAGAACGATGACACATCAAAACACATTAATACAACGTGGCAAAAAATGATGACATGTCAAATGAAATAATAATTGTGCCCTTCTAATTAAACTAAATTATAACTTTGCCCTCAGATGAAATAACAATTTTGCCATCATCTTCTTCCTCTCATCTTGTCATACTCCAAGATCAGTAGCTTGGCATCGACTCTAAAAATTGGCAAATCAACATACTCCCAGCAAATTACATCTTCTAAAAGTAACTTGTTTTTGTTTTATTCTCTTAATTATATTCTTAATGGCTGTTGAAAGTTACAGAACGCAAGTAAAAACCTAGATCTGGTTTACCATATTGCTCTTTTTTTCATCCTTATCTCATCAAAGACTTTAGAGTTCAAATTTGGAGACGTTTGAGAGTTCAATCTCTAGGTCTTTTCATTTTCTCTCTCCCTTCCTGAACACCAAATCTGGGTTCAGTTAACCCATCAACACACAACACCTAAATCGTATGAGGAACCCACCATGCCGTGCAACAATCGCACGAGGAACCCAGAGTCCCAAACCCCATTGACCTACCTTCTCGATAGTAAGCATACCCACTTCTTAGAGAAACAAGAATCAAGAGAATAAAATAACTGAAATAGGAAAGCTACAAAACTCAGATCTATAATAAAGAAACCCAGATCCATAACAAAAGGGGAAATAAAGATTAAATGATAAGGAATGGAAATTGTTGCAGAAGAAATTGGATGCGTTGTTGAAAAAGCCTAGAGTTGCCAACCAAGCTTTCCCATTACCGACTTTGTTCGTTACTCCCTTGTTATCTTTGCCTCCAAATCTCTTTGTTGTCTTTAGCAACCCAACGGCACCTGCTGGGTTCATCGATCGAACCTAGGAATGCCTGTTGGGTTCATCGATTGAACCTAGAAGGAACCTAGCGATGTTGTTGGGTTCGATCGATGAACCCAACAAGCGCTGTTGGGTTCGATCGATGAACCCAACAAGCGCTGTTGGGTTCGATCGATGAACCCAGCAGCGCCATTGGGTTCATTCATCGATCGAACCCAGCAACGTCGCTGGGTTCCTCCTGGGTTCAATCGATGAACCCAACAGGCGCTTCTGGGTTCATCAACGAGGATCTGGGGGAAGATGATGAATGCCAGAGATTGAAATGAACGGGTAACAAAAGGAAAATGGAAAGAAATTGATGTGTGGTTGAAGATGAGGTTAAAAAGGTAATTTTAGTTTTATAATTAATTTTAGATATTTTAATTTTTATTGAAAATTACATGTCAAGTTTTTTTGCCACATTGTCAATCCTACATGTCAAAATATTTTTACATGTCATCATTTTTGGTCAACTAATGGGACATGTAAGCAGATTTTTAACGGAAGGACCAAATCGGGGTAAAAATGGTAAACAGTAAGGACCAAATCAGGGATTTTTTGAGTTGAGGGACTAAGTTAGGGGTCCGTACAATAGTTGAGGGACCAAAATAGAGGTTTAACCAAGTGAATTTTATAAACTTGATTAAGGGCAGGAGTACCCCTTATACTCCAAAATAATAAAATTTAAAATTTTCTTGGTTGATCAAAATAAAATGAAATAAAATAAAATAAAATACTTGTTTAACTTTAGTTGGTTTAATTTTTTCCTCTAACCAAATAAGAATGTAATAATTAATTAATAAAATTTTACATTTCTTCTCGATTTGCCACTAGTTAAATGTCAATAAAAAAACATAATGTAATTATTTTCTTAAAATAAGAGTAAAGTAAAAATAAACGCATTTAATAACAATTTTAAAATAAAAATTAGTCAACTAATTATAAACACCCAAGTTAAAAATTAATTCAACTAAAGCAAAATAGAGAAAATACTTAAATAAAAAATGAGATCAAATAGTGACTTGTGTGCATCTCCTAAGTAATTTTCATTATGGTAAAGTTTTTGAGGAAATTTATCCACCAAAAAAAGAAAGATGTTGAGAAAATTTAATTGGTGGATAAAAAATTTAGAAAAATATTATTTTAAGGGAAGGTTTCTCAGTATGATTTTAAAATGGGTCATTCTGAGACATAAGTTAAAAAGTATTTATTGTATCTTATTATTATTAATTTGTATAAAAAATTATAAAAATAAACTTTATTTTTAATATAAATATCACGTGAAATAATTAATTAAATAATTAATAAAATTAAAACTAATTTTTATTTTTTAATATAAAACAAGTACAATAAACACACATAGACAAATGTTTTAAAAACCCCT